ACACACACACACACACACACACACACATACATTCACACATACACACACACCTACCCATCCATCCACCCACACAAACTCACATACATCGGCACACTGACACACGCTGACACACGCTGACACACACTGACACACAAACAAACACACACACACATACACACATACACACACACATAAAGAGATACACCAACACGTATTCAACACATAACTTTACCTTTTCTAGGTTCCCTTGTCAAGGTCACAAATCTTTAGCCACACCCCCTTAATGACGTCATTAAGCCACACCGCAACCCAATCTGACATCAGAGCTCTGAGCTCTCAGCATGGCTCCAAGAAAAAAAGATTCAACATTGGAGTTCTAGGTAAGCCCTCTCGTTTCTATGACAACAGTGGTTTGCTTCTATAGGGCACATGACCACAGTAAGAGCCACCAAGGTTCAAATCTGGACACACAATTTTCTGAACATATTGAATCCTTGTCAAAGAGGTTATATATCATGTTATAATACTAGAGCTCGCGGCAGCGACGTCACCTGTGTTAGACAGGGGGGGGGGGGTGCTTTCTTATCCATAACGGCACGGCTGGCACACCACCACTTACATAAATAACCTGAACCTGTTCATCACGAGCTCTAGAATTATTAAACACCGCCCTGCTCCCCCAACATTTCTTCAGTGCAAGCTTGGAGATTTCCTCCTTAAACCCTCGTGCGTCTTCACGTGAATCTCCTATAATTAATACTCACCCGTCTGTCGGACTGCGCATACCTTGCTCTTAACGCAAAGTGTCCTAGTGTGAGCATACGCACGCACGCAGCCCTGGATCATTTACGTGGGTGACGTCACTCCCACGAACTCTAATATTAAATATAACCCCTTTGATCCTCATTGATGATTTAAGAGTTGACAACGGGTAAAAATAATACAATACTATGGCTACTTAAAACGACATAAGACCATTGTGAAAGGGTGCTTGAAGGAAAGATGTGGGGCAGGGGAGCCAGAGGAAGGCAAAGAATAACATGGATGGACTACATGGGACATGGACTGGTCTGCATATTATGGCAGAATGCGCAACGGCAGCTCCCAACCGTGAAAGATGGAGGGTCATTACACGTCAACCTCTGTGTCAGAGATGACACCTCCTTGTATCCAGGTGACGGGTCTTCAGTTTTTGCTTTACTGAAGAATGTAACTAGTGTACTGCGTAAAATAATATGTTGGCCTACCTATTCTTATCCGAATCCAATGTAAGTTTATTTTGGCTTATCTCGAGTTACAAAAATCTAGACTCAGCACAACTTTATGTTTTAAGTGTTGTTTTATCTCATTGTTTCTTATGTTCACCTAAACTTTGACGAATCTTATATTATCATTATTCAACATAATGCAATTTGTACTCCTGTATTATCTCCAGGGATTTAAAAAATGTTAAACAATTTTTTACTCTTTATCGTTTTGTCATAACTAACCTCAAGCTAAAAAAGTCTTATCTTATCGTGTCTTGCAAGTGAAAACCTTGCCCTTCGAATGCGGTCTCAGTCAGAGGAAGGGACAAAATTCCAGCCTCTAAAAGCGAAGTCATTAATTTTTCATGGTTGTCTCCCTGCCATTTCAACTTTGTTTAAAGTTGTGTCGTTTGGGAAACCGTCGGTGCTTCCAATTATCGCCATAAGATCCGACTCCTTCGGTGTCATTTAAATACGTTTGTTTCTTTAATAAGGTCCCAGTTTTTTCCTAGCCCCACCCACATTGTTTTTTCTCTAACCCTCTTTCTTACCACATTTCACCCCCTCTCCTTTTCCCATTTCCCCTCTGCCCCTCCTTTCCTCACCCCTATTTTCCCTCCTCACGTCCTT